ATTATAGATCCAATCCATGGAATGGGTGCAGCGCATATTATAGATCCAATCCATGGAATGGGTACAACCCATATTATAGATCCAATCCATGGAATGGGTGCAGCGCATATTATAGATCCAATCCATGGAACGGGTGCAACCCATATTATAGATCCAATCCATGGAATGGGTGCAACCCATATTATAGATAAAATCCATGGAATGGGTGCAACCCATATTATAGATCCAATCCATTCCAATGTGTGCAGCCCATATTATAGATACAATCCATGGAATGGGTGCAGCCCATATTATAGATGCATCCCATGGAATGGGTGCAACCCATATTATAAATACTATCCATGGAATGGGTGCAACAAATATTATAGATCCTATAAATGGAATGGGTGCAACCCATATTATAGATCCAATCCATGGAATGAGTGCAGCCCATATTATAGATGCATTCCATGGAATGGGTGCAACCTATATTATAGATGCATTCCATGGAATGGGTGCAACCCATATTATAAATGCATTCCATGGAATGGGTGCAACCTATATTATAGATGCATTCCATGGAATGGGTGCAACCCATATTATAAATCCATTCCATGGAATGGGTGCAGCCTATATAATAGATCCAATTCATGGAATGGGTGCAGCCCATATTATAGATCCAATCCATTCCAATATGTGCAGCCCATATTATAGAAAAAATTCATGGAATGGGTGCAACCCATATTATAGATCCAATCCATTCCAATATGTGCAGCCCATATTATAGATAAAATCCATGGAATGGGTGTAGCCCATATTATAGATGCATTCCATGGAATGGGTGCAACCCATATTATAAATCCTATCCATGGAATGGGTGCAACAAATATTATAGATCCAATCCACGGAATGGGTGCAGCCCATATTATAGACCCAATCCATGGAATGGGTGCAGCCCATATTATAGACCCAATCCATGGAATGGGTGCACCCCATATTATAGATAAAATCCATGGAATGGGTGCAACCCATATTATAGAT